AGAATGAGCTTGTGGGCCTCCAGGAAGAGCTCAGTATCCAGGGCGGCCTCCACACGGGCCTGCCACTCTTGCAGCCGGGAGTCTTGGCAGAGGTCACAGCCAACAGCAGTGGGCAGGGAAGATAGGACAGCTGGGGTTGGGGCTCAGCCCCATGCCCAGAGTCTCCCCAGAGGGCAAGTGGGTAGGAGAGCTTCACCTCCATCACCTCCGTCAGCACCAATCTTCCAGGGAGAGCTGCTCCATTGCCACAAAGGGCCTGGCCACCAGCACCTCCCCATCCAGGTGCTGCAGGGCTGGCGGCAGCCTCCCTAACAGCCATTCCAGTTGTGCAGCATCTGCAGGCTGCCCTGAGAAGTGGGGCAGAAGAGACTGGGCTGGGAGGAGAGGAGCAACTTAACCCAGACCCTTGGAATCCTCTTGGGCCTCCTCACCATCCCTTCCCGGCTGCCATTCATTAGTGATGTCCTCTGGGGCTCTGTGTTCAGAAAGTTTCTAAGGATTCATTCCGGCTTAGGGGAAGGAGTACTGTGATAGATTAGTGATGTCTGCTCAGGGCAGTGGAAGTGAAGCTAATATGTAATATGTGCCAATTGGTACCTTCCATCTCTGGGGGTCCAAACTCCTGCCCCAGCCTGCATGACAGGGCCTAGGAAGCTCACTTTGCACAGGTAGACATTGGTGGCAGGCAGCTGGATGGTGACATGCTGCCATGCCAAGTACTCACCCACGCAGGTGCGGGCCTGCAGCTCAGATGGGTACCAGTGTGCCTCCATCTGGTACTTTTGACTGAGGTATAAAACGATGACCACGCTGTGGGCAGGAGATGTCAGAGATCTTTTCTCCAGCCTGTCAGGGCCAGGCGGCTTTATGGCTCATACTCATGGTGATTTGACCAGGTTTTCTTCCCACCTTCTCCTTCAGGGGAGGACCCCCCTATACCGCAACTCCCTCCAGGCAGTATCTCCCCACGACCAAACCACTCTGCTTCTCCATTTCCAATTCGATCCTCCCTGGGCCCATGTTTCCACTTCCCCTCCCAGTTATCGCACCATCCTGCCCTCCATGCCCAGGCCCCACTCCCTGGCATCAGGGTCCCCACTCAGAGTGAGAGAGGCAGGCCTGCCATGTGAGCCCTGCCCAAGTTCCCTTCCTAGTGCCCCAGAGCACTAGGTGCCCATTTTCCATCCTCGGGTAAGCCCTGGGAGGTGGTTACATTATTCCCCCCACCCCATTTTACAGAGGAGAAACTTGGCACACAAAGTTCTGTGATTTGCCGAAGGGCACAGAGTGAGGAAGTGGGGAGCTGGGATTGAAAGTGGAGTCTCCCCTGGGCCTTCCCAGCTCCTAGGACTCTGAAAGGATGAGCTGGGGACATTTGGGGAGGAGCCAGTCTCAAGCCTGAGCCTTGCCTGCTGGCTTCAGGTTGTCCAGGCTTATCTGGGTGACCTATGCCCTTTCCCCACCTGGGCAGCTCCAGATGGCTAAGGCTCTAGCCAGGTTCCAGCCTCCAGCTTTAGCCCAAAGGTGCCTGTGGGTCCAGCCTCTGCATCAGAGCTACACAAGCTGAAATGAGGAAGGGGCTGCTGTGACTTGGAAAGATGTCCATCCCAGGGAAAGATCTCCCCTCTTTCCTCTGCCTCCCCCTACAAGTCTGAGCGCCTGAACCCAGGCAGATCCTGGCTGTGACCCTGGGTGGTCACCAGGTCACCATTCCCTCTCTGCTAGTAGGAAGTCGCCATCTCTGAGGGCAGGCATCTTCCCCAGGGGTTCACCTTCAGGAACTCAGGCTTCAGGTGCTCCCCTGGTGGGCAGAAAGGAGAGAAGGCTCAGTGCAGGGCCTGGTCCTTGGCACCCACTCCATGGGGTCCAGCCCAGCCACTTGGCTCACCCCAAGCCAACTCCACCGGCTGCAACTGAAAAGGGATGCCATTCTGTCTTGCAAAAGTGGATGGTGTGTCAGGTCCAGGAAGAGCTCGAGCCCCATTGCTGCTCCTCTCACCTGCCCTCCCAGAATTCTGGACCTCCAGGAGTTGCTCAGCCCTTCTCCAACAGTTTTGAGCTGTTTCCTGTTCATAGTCTGCTGTAATGGGCCAGAGCACAGGGCAGGCTGGGCTTCAGGGACCTTCTCCGGATATTCCTGGGAAGAGAACTTCATCTTCTCTCTTAACTCTTGCTGATAATTTTCTGGAGCTAGGCACCTTGTAAAACCCATGTCCCAGAATGCCAAACCTGGAAATACAATGTTGGCACTGAAGCTGCATTGAAACTGAATGAATGAAGCCCCCACCCTCTTATCTAAATAGCCTATCAGTCAGTTGAATGTCAAAGTATGTAGGGGCGGTGTGGGGGAGCCTATAGGGAGTCTCCATTTCTGTAGCCTTCCAGATGTTCCATGCAGAGTTTTCCTCTAATGACCCTTGGACACCATGGCGGTCACTGTTTCCCTGCATAAACCTTTGATGATCCTTACCTTTAGTGCACCAGTGAAACACCAAATTCTGATTTTCAGTGTGTGCAGTCTATATAGTTAATAAAGTCAGTTTCTAATGGAATATGCCTGTGCCTGCTGTGTTTTTACCTAACCACTGCTAAGGACTCTCATTAATAGCTAGACCTTGGAGTTCTTTCCCCTGGATGCCTGGCCCAACTATTTTGAACTCATTCATCTGCCAGTGTGTTTCGTGGTGTTCTGCTTCCCCAAGCACCTCAGGGAATGTTTGAGTTGAATATGAATGAATCGTTGCAGTCACCAAGGATGGGATTCAGGCCCAGGTCTCACCAAGACCATAAGGCAACAGTCTTTGATCTAGATTCCCCATGTTAAATCTGCTATCTTCACTGTAGTGAGAGTGATACTGAGAGAGAAAAGTTAGGTAATTAGGGTGGGTTCTTAGTAAAACTCCTTTAAACAGAGGAACAACCTGAAAAATCAGGCTTCAGACACAGGTAAGGAAACTTGCACAAACCTCTGGCCCACTCAGGTAAAGGAACAAGGCCCAACATAGAAACACCTTTTACCTTTGTGCCTAAGACATGCCTACAGCTACTCGGATAAGGGAACAAGACCCAACATAGAAACGCCTTTGTCCTTTGTATAACCAGTGGGCTTCTAGGAAATAGTCTTTTCTCCTTTTGTGGACATGTACACGGTGGGTTATGGTGGGTACCAGTGGGCACTTTCCTTTCTTGGACATGCTTTAGACTGTGAGCCGAGCCTCTGTGAATCATCACTTCAGCCCGACTGGTCCTGGGCCAGGCTATCACTTCAGCTCCTGATTGGTCCCTGGCAATGTCCAGGGGCCAAGCTGAGTAGTGTTCTCTCTAAGACCAGTCAGCACATTCCTTCCCTTCCCAGTCCATAAAAACCCCGGACCCAGCCTCATAGTGGGCAACCTGCTTGGGCCTCCCGCCAGCTGCGATGAGCTTTCTTCATTTGCTTATTAAACTTTTGCTTCAACTTCACCCTTTGTGTCCACACTCCTTAATTTTCTTGGTCGTGAGACAAAGAATTCTGGGTGATACCCCACAATAAGAGACTGGTACATTGTGGTGTACGGGCAAGACTGCAACAATATGTTTTCTGCTTGTTTGTTTGGACTGGCGTCTTCTCAACTCTCCAGGGTGCTCTCTCCCCACTGTGGCCCTGAGCTTTGCCTCATTGTAACACTGTGCATCCTGACACTCCTGCATGATCTGCACGTTTCTCACCTCTGGACACTCCCCACACAGCTTTTTGTTGCTTGACCACCCTTCCCACCTACTTTCAACTGTTTCTCTCCAGCGCATCTTTCATGATAAGGCTCAAGTGGAAGCTGCATCCGAGGCAGAAAGTTATCCATGCAGCTTTGAAACTATCTGTTTATGCTTCTGTTTACCCTCCCCCAATACTGTTTACCCCAATACTCAAAGTCAAGATTGGTGACTCAACAATTTTCAAAACTTCTAGCTTATCAGCACAGCTTTATTGTACTGAGTGTTTCACCATGCTTTTACTGTCTTTGAGGTTAAAAAACCCCCAACATTCACTCCTATTTAAATCATCCTTGCTAGACTCAAGCAGCTATGAATTCAACCACAGTGTAAAGTTCTTCCCTACAACGCTTTATTATTACTATAGCTCCCAAGAGAGTACCATCTTTCAGCCCAAGGCCTTGACAGAAGCCCTTCAATTCTGTTGCCTTTTTTCACCTCTGGAATGCTGACACCACCCATCATCCCTCTCTCCTTGTTCATTTACTAGGTTTTGTTCTTTTTTTTCCTTTTGTTTCAATATCCTATTGTATCTGTGCCTTTTGGGCTTCACATCCTTTTTGGAAAGAGAGGCACAGGTAATATAATGAATGAGGATGCTCTTCCTACCTGGTTCCCTCTAAGTCAAGTTTCTCCAACCCGCTGGTCGGCTTGGCTTTCAATGCGGCTCAACACAAATTCGTAAACTTTCTTAAAACATTTTGAGATTCTTTGGTGATTTTTATTTTTATTATTTATTTATTTATTAGCTCATCAGCTATCCTTAGTGTTAATGTATTTTATGTGTGGCCCAAAACAATTCTTCCAACGCGGCCCAGGGAAGCTAAAAGATTGGACACTTCGCTCTAAGTGTTCCCCAAGTTTCCACTGTTTTGAGAGCACATGTCCCAGGTAATAACACACAGCCCATTATTTAGCGACTGCTCAGAGCGCAAGCTGTGGAGAAGGGAGTCCGACTACGAGCTGGTGCTCTGAGCCAAGCACTCGAGGACCGACGGCGGGGATCCGGAACCAACAAGCTCCACTCCCGCATTTCACAGACACACACACACGCGCCGCCCAAGGGTAGCAGTCCGCAGGGCCCCAGCTAACCAGCCACACTAGCGGGCAAGCGGCGAGTGCGCCCCCGCTGATTGGCTGGCGTAGCCGGCACCGGAGCCAATGGGAGCAGGCCTTGTTGTCAGGCGCGCAGCCGGCATGCGCGGTGGTCGGGAAGGACTGGCCGTTGCTGTGGAGACGCCTAGTGAGTTCCTGGAAGGCTGGTTTGAAGGCGGTGGGGGTGGGGGTGAGGCTCGGCAGAGCTGGGGATACAGGCTTGAGGGGCTGCAGGCGCGAGGCTGGGTTATGTGAGGACGCTGGGGGTTTCGCGGGCAGCTTTGGAGCCACAGTCGGGGAAACCGAGGCCGGGCTTCCTGGCTGCCCCGCGGGCCTCTTCACGGCTCTTGCGGCCGCCTTGAGGTGCCTAGGATGGGTTCCGGCCTCGGGGGTGGTTCCCAGTAACCGCAGGAGCCACCATTGATTTGGCGTCTGCTGGGTGCAAAGCCCAGCGCTAACTCTTTACTCGCGACCTTTCGCTTCACCTTCACAGCAGCCCTGAGAGGTGAGTGCTGTTATTAGTGCCATTTACAAGGGTGGAAACTGAGACCGAGGGAAGGTGAAATGACTTGCTCCAAGTCACCCAGTGGGTGAGCGCGACTCCAGACTGAAAATTGTGACCATTCTGCTTCACTGACTCCCCGCAGGAGGCGGGCCCTGGCCAGAGGGAACTCACCTGACATTCCCAAGGTGTCTGTCTGCACAAGTGGCTTTGGGAGTCACTTAACTCTTCAGGACCTGAGTTATTACAGGTTATAAGTGTGGGACCGTCGGATTCCATGTGGCTAAGATTCCTTCTGTGTGATTATTATGGTTAGAAATAGAATATGCTTAGAACGGTCTCGTTCAGCGGTCGCCAAACTTTTGTTGTGAATATATTAATGTTTACATTGTTATATTGTAAATATGAGTATAATAGTATTCATAATAGTAGTTTAGGCTTGGGGGGGCCATCCTGTATCTACTCAAGTGTGGCAGTGTGGTGTGGATACAGCTGAAGACAATGCGTAAGAGAGTAGCTGTGTTGCAATAAAATTGTAATTATGGGGACCAAAATTTTAATTTTATATATTGTTTGTATCATTTTCACGTGTCATGATTTTTTTTCCAAATATTAAAAAATGTAAAAACCATTCTTTGCTCCTGGGCTGTACAAAAAGGGTGGGCTGATTAGCTTGCGGAACCCTCATCTAGTACAGCACCTCATACATGAGGGGAGACAGACCCAGAGACTGGCATCTGTGTCAAGTCAGTCACACAGCCAAGGCACTGCCACCACTGAGCTTAAGACATAGGCTTCCCACCTTCCCGGCCGGGAGACACCCCCAGTTATCACTCTGTATCAGGGTGCCGATGTCTCAAAGTGTGTTATTCTTTAGCATGTGTTCTGAGGCCATGGACACTATAAGGGGTTTGGAAACTTACTAGCTTAGACTAATAAGCCTGGTGAATGTGCTGCTATCTGAGGAGATGCAGCTGCTGGGCTGGGAGTCAGAAATCAATAGATATTTTTCTTTTTCATGATTATTCAATAGCTGTTTTTTTTTTTTTTTTCTGAGATGGAGTCTTGCTCTGTCGCCCAGGCTGGAGTGCAGTGGTATGATCTCGGCTCACTGCAATCTCTGCCTCCTGGGTTCAAGCAATTCTTCTGTCTTGGCCTCCCGAATAGCTGGGACTACAGGCGCCTGCCACCACGCTTGGCTAATTTTTGTATTTTTAGTAGAGACAGAGTTTCACCATATTGGTCAGGCTGCTCTCGAACTCCTGACCTCAGGTGATCCATCTTGGCCTCCAAAAGTGTTGGGATTACAGGCGTGAGCCACTATGCCCGGCCTCAATAGCTATTTTTTTTTTAAAGCTCCTTTTGGTGAGTTTCTTGGATTTATGGTGAACAATACAGTCACCATCCTCACATTGCTTACAGATGATAAATATTTAATCAAAATGGTTATTTCTTTTTAAGCTTTTTAAACTAATTTTAGATTTAGAGAAAAGTTGCAACAATACAAAATGTTCTCTGTCCCTCACCCTGCTTTCCCTAATGTTAACATCTTACATAATGAACTGTTATCAAGAACAGAAAGCTAGTGTTTGTACAGTATTATTAACTACATTACAGACGTGATATGAATGTTACCATTTTTTAAATTAAGGTTGTGTTTTCATTCCAGGATCCTATCCAAGATCCCATGTTGCATTTACTTATTTCTCCTTGGTCCATAACACTTCCTTAGTCTTTTCTTGTTTTCCTTGGCTTTGATGCTTTTAAAGAGTACTGATCAGTTATTTTGTCTAATGTCTCTCAATTTAAAGGTTTGTCCAGTGTTTTCTAATGATTGGGGTAAGATTATGCATTGTTGGCCAGAATAATACAAAGATACATTATCTTTGTGTCTTTCTCAGTGCATCAGATGGAGTCCAAGATACTGGTATGTCTTGTTACTGGTGATATTTACCTTGATCTATTGGTTTACTTGGTGTCTGCCAGGTTTCTACACCGTAAAGTTGCTATCCATTTCTAATTAATGAGTCTCTTGAGAGAGAGAGATTGAGATGACACAAATTCTGGTTCTCCATGAATTTGTGTCCACTGACTTTAGCATCCATCTGCAGATCTTTGTGGTGTTTGCCTAAAGGTAAATTATATATCTCTTTCCTTCTGCATTTATTAAGTCAAGTTCTACTGAAAGGAGATCTACTCTCTCTCTCTTTTATTTATTTGATTATTTATGTGTCAGTATAGGCCATGGATATGCATTATATTCTATGAGTTAAAATTCATTATCATCATTATTTTGTTGCTTACTGTTACAGCATTGGCTATTTAGTTAGGATCTCCTTCAGGGTAGCTTCTGTGGCCTATCAGCTGGCCCTCATTTTTTTTCTTGTTTTTTTCTCTGAGCACTTACTTTATGACACCACAAGGTGTTCCACGCTCATCTTGTGTTTTCTCTGCCCCAACTCTGGAATCACAGTTCTTTTTGTCTTTAGCCTATCCCGTCAAGATACGGTTTTCCACAGCTACTTAGGTTAGTTCTTTTCTTCCTCATGCCCTTCAGAGTGGTTATGTTAGTTGTAATAGGTTCACTGTTAGGGTTTATATTTGTTTTCGAGTTCCCCTTATGTCCTAGCTGATTTTAGTTTGTTTTTGGGGTATGAATTATGACTGATTTCTGAGAGTCAGAGCTACACACAAAGGTATACTCAGAGAAGTGTCTTTCCCTCCTCATGCCTGCCACCCTGTTCCCATTCACCCCTTCTTTTCACCCCTTTCCCACCTACCCTGTATAGCTAACTTTGGTATCTGGATTATCTTGCGTTTCTTTTGCACAAGTGAACAGATAGTTGTGTATTTTCTCATATCTCTTGTTTCTTACACAAAGGTGACACGCTATAGATAATTGTGTTTGCTTTTTTCACTTAATAGTATGTTTTAGGCTGGGCATGGTGGCTCATGCCTGTAATCCCAGCACTTTATGAGACTGAGGTGGGTGGATTGCCTGAGGTCAGGATATCGAGACCAACCTGGCCAACATGGTGAAACCCCATTTCTACTGAAAATACAAAAAAATTAGCTGGGTGTGGTGGCAGGCACCTGTAATCCCAGCTACTTGGAAGGCTGAGACTGGTGAATCGCTTGAAAGTGGGAGGCAGAGGTTGCAGTGAGCCGAGACTGCATCTCTGCACTCCAGCCTGGGTGACCGACTGAGTGAGATTCCGTCTGCAAAAAAAAAAAAAAGAAATGTGTGTCTTGAAAATCACCCCATATTCATAGAGATCTTCCTCATTCATTTTTAAAAACATCTTTATTGAGGCCAGGCACGGTGGCTCACACCTGTAATCCCAGCACTTTGGGAGGCTGAGGTGGGCAGATCATTTGAGGTCTAGAGTTTGAGGTCAGCCTGACCAACATGGTGAAACCCCGTTTCTACTAAAAATATTAAAAAAATTAGCTGGGCATGGTGGTGCATGCCTGTAGTCCCAGCTACTCGGGAAGCTGAGGCAGGAGTATCGCTTGAACCCGGGAAGTGGAGGTTGCAGTGAGCCGAGATTGCACCACTGCACTCCAGCCGGGGCCACAGAGCGAAAATTGCCCTGCAGCCTAGGCGACAGAGCGAGACTCTGTCTCAAGAAAAAACAATAAACAAAAACATCTTTATTGAGATATAATTTACATACCTTACAATTCACCCATTTAAGTATAAAGTTTAGTGGTTTTTTAGTATATGCACAGAGTTATGCAAGCATCATCGCAGCACATTTTAGAACATTTTTATCACCCCTAAAAGAAACCCTGATCCGTTAGCAATTAGCAATTACTTCCCATCCTGTCTTCCCCCAGCTCTAGGCAACCAGGAATCCACTTTCTGACTTTATAAATTTGCCTGTTTTGGACATTGCATGTAAATGGGATCATACAGTACGTGGTATTTTGTTACTGGCTTCTTCCACTTAGTATAATGTTTTCATGGTTCATCCATGTTGTCAATGTTTCGTTATTTTTATGGCTGAATAACATTCCATTTTATGGATATACCACCTTTTGTTTATCCTTTTATCAGTTGATGGATCTTGGGTTTCTACTTATGCATTATTTTGAATTATGTTGCTATGAACATTGCCTCATTAATTTTTACAGCTGCATATTCATTGTATTTCATACATTGTACATTCATACATTGTGTGAATGTACCATAGTATGTACCACAGAGTAGATGAATAAACTATTACAGTTTATATTATATGAAGAAACTATTATAATAGTTTATTTTTCTACCCTCATATCTATGGCCATTTAAGCTGCTTCCATTATCTTGCAGTTACAAACAGTGCTGTACAGTGAATAATTCTGTGCTTATGTGTTTTTGTATTGTTGGAGGTACATATTCAGGGTAGTTTCTAGAAGTGGAATTTCGGGGTTGAAAGGTAAATGCGTATGTAATTTTCTCAGATATTGTCAAATTTCCCTCCTGAAGGGTTGTACCAATGTCCAGCAATGTATGAGAATAGCGCCCATTTCTCCACAACCTCGCCAACAGTGTGTGCTGTCATGTTTTAATTTTTGCTAGTGTGATCATTGAGAAATAGTGTGTAGTGTTGTTTTGTTTTAATATACATCTCTCTATGATTCAAACATTTTTTCATATGTTTTCGAGCTAGTTGCATCTTCTTTTGCGATTTATCTGTTCATATTTTTCCTCCATTTGTCTACCAGGTTTTCGTTTTTCTGTTCTTTAGCTTTTTAAAAAAAAATTGTGATAAAATATAAGTAACATACAATTTATCTTTTTTTTTTTTTTTAATTTGAGATGGGAGTCTCTGTTGCAGGCTGGGAGTGCAATGGTGCCATCTCAACCTCCTGCAACCTCCACCTCCCTGGTTCAAGCCCTTCTCCTCGCCTCAGCTCTCAAGTAGCTGGGACTCAGGCGTGTGGGCCACCATGCCGGCTAATTTTTTCTATTTTTAGTAGAGACGAGTTTCACCATATTAGCCAGGATGGTGTTC